CACGAGTGTCTGAATGATCTTCGAGGGGCTGCTTAAAATAAATTATGGAATGATGCCATGATCTCTATTGCCGTACATATTACAGCATCATTCCATAATTCATCATGGGCAGACTTAATAAGGTCCTAAGCCATAACACATAAGAAGCCTACCCCTCTATTAAATAATAATAAATTTAAAGCGCGACATATTAAGTCATAGTACACTAGATTCTTGCTAATTCGGCATTCTTCTGTGCAAGGAATGGCCGGATTAGCAAGAGTCTAGTGTATAGTACAAGGCCTTATAGGCCTTATAGTCCTACTAGGCTGGAACGGGTTCGATTCCAATCCCTAAGGCACTAAGCTAACTTGATATTATCTGATCAATATTTCTTATCGATGAAGAAGAAATATTGTTCAAATAAAAAAATTTATTATTATTATTATTATTATTAAATTGTAAATTTAGATTGAAACTTATAACAAATGAATATATAGTATTGCTATCATACTAATTTAAAGAATGAAATTGTTATGATTTATAATTTTTTTAATGATACTAAAGGAAATCAAAAGCATGATTGCATAAATGCTATATTTATTGTATTTTGCATCAGATTTCAAATCCATGAGTTTTAAATGATGATAATGTTTCAGAAAGTTTTAGAAGGCTAAAATAGAATATACCAGTTAAATTAGAAAATCTTTAGGTATAATTAGATAAGCCGACACATAACATATACACAGAAGGCACTGTACAAAACAATTGTTTGTTTAATGACATAGAGCAAATATTTGTTTAAACACATACAAGTAGTCCATAAACTTGCGATGAGTTCTGAAACAGAACTTTATTGTAAGTTTAATTGGTCTAAGTTGAACACAAAAAATAATGGTGATAATGGGGCGGTTTTCAAGGCTGTCCCTAATGAAAATTAACATAATTTCTAAAATTAATAACATTATTTATTTATCATTTTAAAAATATTTTGTTGCTGGTTTTTTCCTTTGTATAATCACCAGTTACATGACAATAAAAGCAAGTATTGTTTACAGACAAAAAGTGAAAGTACATCAACTGCGGATGAAGAAGCACAAGATTCTTGGGAATCTAGCATTGGTGAATGGTCAATGAAATATGAAGAAGCATCTATTAATCAATATACACCAGAAGTACAATTATTAGCTGGATCACTTGCTAATCACAATGTAAGCATTTTTAATTATAATGAAAAGTTTTTTATTTTACAGAAATAAATACTTTTATATTAAAGTAATTATAATTAAGACCTATTTACAATCAATAGTTAATAGTATTTTATAAAACATTTTACTTTCCATATTTTTTAATGATGTATTGCTTTTAGTGAAAAAATAATTGCTTATGAATTTTAATTTATATAAATATTTTAAATAGTTGAACATGATTGGACTGATTGGATCAATTTAGATTTTTTTAATGTCTTTATATGTATTATTAGTCCTTATTTGTTTGTTGATTATCATAACTTAAAAAGTTGCAAAAAACAATTTTATGGTATTGAAGTAAAGGCATAATCTGTTGTACAAACATTTGAGCTTGGATATATGATAATAACAGCAGAATTTTACTTTAGCTTTACTGAAGATGAGTCATTTTGCTATGCTTAATAAAAGCATTAGATAAATGACACATTTTTCAGTTTTTTATTTGTAAGAAGTTTTCTGTTTGTTGATATTTATAGATTTTTTAATATAATTCAATATTTATTTAAATTTTAATTAAGCGAGCAATGTAATATAAGTCTGTAACATTACAAAAGAAATATTCAAAATGCAAACATCTTTGGTATTCCTAACACATTTAGTGATGAAGATGCCTTGCCCAATATGCCGAGGATACTCAAGTTTGATTATATTATCACTTGACTTTTAGAATATTTTGGATTTTATATTTTATTTAAAATGGAGTTGTTTATGTTATAACTATTATACGATAATAAATGAAACAATGGATTATGTAAATAGAAAATAGAATTATACTAGATTCAACTCACTTTTGTATTTGGGTATGGAAATGATAAATAAATGATGTATTATTATAAAAACTGATGTTTTAGCTTGCTTGTGCTATGATATTTAATGTTTTTGAAGGTTTCCAATTTTTAAAAAAATTTCAAATGACCAAATAGTATAATGTACTTGAAATGGTTGTCTTAGACACAATTTTGAAACAGTTCACTTATTCCAATAATAATGATTATGCCAAACAAAAATAAGATAATGTCATAACTTTTTAAAAATATTCAAATTATGAGAATAAAGAAAATATAAGCAGTATATCAGCAAATAATCTCAAAAACAAAATATTTATGNTTTATGTTTTTAGATTATAATAGAGAGAGAGAGTCGAAGATAAAAAAACAGGTTGAAACAATTATAACAAAGAAAAAGATGTCTAGCTTTAGTTGTTTGCTCTCTGATGAAGAGAAGAATCCTCAGCTGCAAAATCTTCAAAATGTTCTGTACATTATTAGATGCATTGAAAATTTTGAATTTTTTGTAGCTAAATGTGAAATTAAAACAACTTGAGACCCAGAGATAGAGTGGTCTTTTACCCTTTTGCAGACCCTTTTAGCCATTAATCTTTTACTAAATGAAATACAGAGAATGTTTCTTTATTAACTAAAAGCAGTCTTAAATAATTTATTTTCTGTTAATAAAATAACATTAATTTTATATGAATAGGAATCACTACGAGCCCATAAGTTTTCTCCCAGCCCAGGGAAAAATCCCTAGTTCCCCTCTCGAAGGACCTTTATTTGTTGTCAGTTTCAGGAATAGGCAAAAGCCTAGAGCCTCGCATTTTTAGCCATCTTATTCACGCACAAATGTATTCTTAATAGTTGATATTCTTGGTCCAGCAGAACATATCTTGGGAAATGCCAGCAGGGCTTTTTATCCCGTACTTCACGTACAGTACATATTTACAAGGCCTCAAAAACATTTGTTTAACGTTATTCATCCCACTACGTGTTTCATATTGATACATAAGAAATGCTAGTGAGAATAAAAAACCCTTTATTCTTCGTACGTCGTACTAGGTATACTTTATATGTCGTACAAGGTCTAGCTAGCTAGCTACCTATACCTTGTACAATAGCTATACTAGATAGCTAGCTAGCTAGACCTTGTACATCAAGTAACACTATTATGCTGTATAAAACGAGCTTCACATCATATACAAGTAAATTTGGAAATAAGGGCCTCATAAGTCCAATCGAGGAATTAGCATAATTTAAAATCCTCACTGTCGATATTGTATGTGTGATCACTATAATAATAATACAGTCGATCCCCCTATAACACTGTTGATTATTCCGTTTTATATGAATTCCATGTTGTACGAGTCACTTAGATTTTACAAATACGTGAGCCGTTCATTCTAAAAAATATAAATATAATAAATCATGTAGTAAAGATAGAAAATAAGCAAAAAGCATTTATTCTTATTGAAATGCATTTAGATTTATGGTGCATCTTATCCTTTGGCACTCATTTATCTAATTTTAGATCTAATTGTACTTTGTAATGGGCATGAATAAAACTCTTCTTAATATCTATAAAGGTAAAAAAAAGCACTTATTTGTAAATTAGTATTTGGAAAAATAGTATTCAAGTGTAGAGAGATTTGTTTGTCTTCTTAATGTAATTAAGTATCTTAAATTGATTCATTATTTGATTTTCTTTCTCAGATAAACTAATTTTACAAATAAAAAATGTACTTAATTAGTATTTTTAAATTGATTATACAAAAACTCATTTATAGACAAAAAGAAAGTAAAATTATAGGAAATGATAAGCCATCTTACAGTAAAATGCATATTGTTGCTGATAAAATTTATAATTATGGAGTCTGTGTTTTAAGACTTCATAATTAATACAGGACACATCTTTTTACTTTGCAATAATTTATAGATAAATACAAATAACATTCTTTATATCCTAAAATACACTATTCATTATTTAGTATGCTTTAAAAATGGTAATTGGGTGTTTCTAATTTTTGTTGGTATATTTTAATTTAGAGTTACATCATGTGATGGTTTGATGTTTTTTAACATTAAGATTTCTTTCACTGGAATGGTTGAGTTATTGAGTGAAAATGATGAGTTTCCCAATATTGAAGAACTTTAATGTTTTTTTGAAATTTGAATTGCTCAATTTAACTCAAAGATAAAATAAGTGTATGAAATATGATAGAAATTATGCAATAACCTGACATTAATAGAAAAATCTGATATTCTATTCATTGCTAAATTTATTTATTTTTTTATATGGATAGTGAAATAATTTTGTTAAATAAACAGGCATCACTTTTGAAAATTCTTTTGATTTAAGCCTATTGTTATAACTTTTAATAATTTTCTATTATTTACTCTAATGACTACTACTGTGTCAGTAATTGTTATTCAATGATTTTAAGATATATTTTTGAGCTATGATCAATTAGCAGGTTTATTGTAAATATTCTGTTGCATATAAAAGTTCATCAAATGATGTAATTGAAATGAAAATTCACAAATAGAAAGACAAAACAGTTATTGCTGTTGTTGACAATTTTGAATTAGTTTGTAAAATAAAAGTACTGTAAATGTTTAATTAAAATAATACATATCTAAGAACTAAAAAAGGATTTCACTTCATGAGAATGAGGTCATTTGAAAACTGTTTTACAGGTTAAGAGTTAAGAATATAAATATTATGTCTTGTTAATAAAATAATTGAGTCATTTATTTATTCTCCTTTTTAATTTATACTATTAATATTCAATTTAAAAATCTTGACAATTCATACTTTTTTATTTTTATATAGTACAAAACATTATGAATAATTAAATTCTGTACTACATGTATATAATAACTTTTTACAATACAAATACAGTTCCGTGTTATTCCCAAGATATCTCGACCTGAAAAATAAAGAACCAGACTGTTGGACCTGAGANAGTACTATTTATTTATATTACTAAATAATGATTAATATAATTATGTTGATTTCAGTCTACACCAATATCTCACACAGTATCATCCCCTGCTGATACAACATTGGATTCTAATAAACCTAATCAAGAAGAACATGAACAAGATGAACAGTCGTGCAGAAAAATGGTTGGTTTTTTTAAATATTAATTCTAATATTATCATGAAAATTAATTATTTTTTGTTTCTAAATTATTTAAATTATGTATTTATTTAATATATAGAGTCCATAGAACATACAAAGAATTTTTAATTTTTCATTAAGGAAAAAAGTCAGTCAAAGAAATTAATAAATACTTTTACTTTTATTACCAACAAATCAAATGTAATTTAATATAAAGGTTTTTACTTTTGTAATCAATAATAAAAGAGTCCCTGACAAAAGAATCACAAAGTATCTTTTTGTATTGACTTACTTGATTGCGGCATTATTTTTACCAATATTAATAGTAAAATTTTTCTTATAAAATATTGTACTGTAATATATTATATTATATAAATTTTATATACACAAATTTTATTGTACTAAGGATAAAAACCTTGTTACAGGGGGGATTATTTTACAAATAAATTTGAACAAAAACCATAATAGTTCATAATACATCAAATATCCTTTTTAATTATATATATTATATAAATTTTATTTATACATACAGATTCTATTACAGTTTCTTTGTTTATTAAAAAATTCTTAATGTTCTGGAACCTCGTACAGTTTAGATAAGTGTTTCTCAACCTCTAATGAATCGTCTCCCCCTTCACTTCAAAATTTTGAGCGGAGGGCCAAGGCTAACGCCAAATTCGCACTGCATTGAATAGACTATTGACTAGTATAATGTTATTTGTTTAATTATTGTACGATATAACGAATAAAATATCTAATTATTCTTAATATAACGTTTTACTATATCGCTCAGAAAATTGTTTTTTGCCCCGAAAATATAAATTGTTACAAATTGCCCTCTCAACATGGAAAAACGCCCACATGGGGGCGATATCGCCCCCGTTTGAAAAACACTGGTTTAGATGCTTTCTACAAAAACTTAAATGTTTCTAATAAGTGATTTTTATCATGTAGAATTAATTTCAGTTTTGGTTTATAACATATTTTATAAGTTTAAATAAAACTTAAAATCAAAATATTGTCAGTTTTTATATTACTTGAGACTTGCATTTTTTAAAATGTAGCTAAAAAACACTTGTGAATAGTTTTTAAATGTAATTCTATTTAACTAATTTATATATTAAACAAAATTTGGGGAGAATTTGTTTTTATTTAAGTATTCAGATAATTTTTTTATATATGTTACATTTATAATGTTGTTACTCATAGCTGCACTAATAAAATTATTACATAATAATGATTTAATTCATTCAATAATTTTATATAATGATTATTTGGAATTAATAGTTCTCAGAACTAGCAAACATGTAATAAATAACAATAAAAGTAAATAAATTTTTTTTAGTCTAGTGCTCTAATTATAAATTGAAGTTTACAGCAATAAATCTTTTTCATTGAATGATTTTAATTCATTAATAATTAATCCTGTCTATAATATGGTTAGATAAAAAGTTTTACTAAAATATTGGGTAAAATCTGGCATGAAATATGCATATTTGACCAAAAATTTCTATTAATTCTTTTAATTACAGGAAAATATTTGTTAATAATACTAATTTCAGGGTATTTGCAATTTAAGTATTGATTTTCGTTTTAATTATAGTATCTGGAATTATAATCAGAACAAATCATTATTATTGAGACAAAACTGTAAAAAACAATTTTATATATATTTATCTGTAACAACTTTACTATTAAAAAATTTTTAAAGCAAACATTGGATATATTTATTTCCAATATAGTAAGTCCTCATTTAATGCTGATTGATAGATTCTTGGAAACTGCAACATTAAGTGAAATGACAAGTAATTAAATCAATTTTATCATAATCTAATTGATATAAAGAAGATAAAATTGTTAATTATAATCCAAAACAATATTAAGTGAGGTGGATAGTGAAATAATTTTGTTAAATAAACAGGCATCACTTTTGAAAATTCTTTTGATTTAAGCCTATTGTTATAACTTTTAATAATTTTCTATTATTTACTCTAATGACTACTACTGTGTCAGTAATTGTTATTCAATGATTTTAAGATATATTNATGAACATTGTTAATATTGTTAAACATGTATTCGTAAACATGTATTATATATGTAATTAAATATGACTAAATTTTATACTAAATATGGTTCAGCTGCTGCTATTATTTTTCTGTTCATTATCTTGTTTATCTATGCTTTTATATTTCTTAATTATTACAATTGTTATTTTGTAAATTTTGATAAATGATTATTGTTATCATTTTAAAAATTTCGGAAAATGTTTACTTTAAATTTTATATTTGCAAAATAATTTCATTTTATAGACCAGAGAAGAGCGTAAAATTGATGCAATAATGAGAGCTTTTGAACGTATGGAAAAAACTGCAAAACGTCGACAACAAGCGTTAGAACGCATGGCACAACAAAAAGCACAACAACAGAAACAAGAAGTAGAGAAAGATAATTCTGATGCTTTGTTTATAAAATCAGAATCAAATATAGGTGAAGAAGAAAGTTCAAATTTACAGTCTAGTGGAGAAGCAGCATGCAATGAAGAAGCTAAAGTAGCTTTAGTAACATGTCAAAATAACTCAGTTAATAATTGTAGGCATAAAAAAGGGTAAGGAAATATATTCATTATAAAATTAATGATTAAATAAATTGATTTAAAACTTAATTATTATGAATTTTTAATGAAAATTATAAAATGTGTAAACATTTGCAAACTAAGTGACTATTACTATTCATTGTGTTTTACCATGTTATAGAAAGAATTGTTGTAATATGTTTTTACTAGTTTTTATTTTTTGCTCAAATTATTCACAATTCTAATATTAGAGATGGCTTTGGCAAATTTTTATCATAAAACACATACTCACAATAGATTTTAATTAGAAAAGTTGTCTTCATCATATGTAAGTTGAGAAATGTTACCAAATAGTTGTCAGCCAAGTGTTTAAGCAACTATAAAATAATCATTGTTTTCCAAACTTTTAACAATAAATCAAAAATATGAAAACTTTAATTAAAGGAAAAGAAGAAGAGGTTCTGGAACTCCAGCAAGGAGGAGGACTCGATCAAATAGTGGTGGGTCTGATATCATGTCACCTGATGAATTACCTTCTTCAGGTATCAATCCTGTCACTATAACTTCTGCAATATCTCCACCTAATATTGTGACTAGTATTTCAACAACAACCAGTACAACTATTACCTCTAATACAGTCAGCAATAACAGTGCATTTCCAAAAACAAAGAAGGTAATTAAAAAAACAGTAAATTAAATTGTTATACATCTACAACAGCCATAAATGATCAGACTATATTTTGGATATATAATTATAAATTAGAAATGAATTTGGCCTGATCATTTACGGCTGTTGTAGATGTATTAGCTTAAGGTATCGGGTTTCAATGGTTGTGTATATTTAAATTGTTGTGTATTTGAAGTTTAAGGTTACAGATATAAATTTATGAAAGAAATTATTTTATAAAATTTATCTAAAGTTGTTGTTTTCAATAACAGATAACTACCAGAGACATTTCTTACAAAATAATAATACTTCCATTTAGATAGTGAAGTTTTGAAATTTTGCTTATCAATTTTTCTATATATAGTTTTTGATGCAGGAATGGCTACAAGAGAAAGCTGAAACATCAGTACCTGTATCATGTCCTTTAACTATTCATACTGAACTTAGCTGGAATTTATCAACAGCAAGTCCTACATGTTACGTAAGGTGCACCAGGGACAGTCCAAATGCAGGTGGTATATCATCAGCTCATCTCCGTCGCAACAGTACTTCCTGTATGGGTCAAGGAGGAAAATCATCATCGAGTCTAGGATCTGCAAAAAAGGTATTACTTTGATTTCAGTTTTTACATCAGTGATAATATTTTTTATTAACAATTTTAAGCACTTGCTTCAATATACAGTAATATTGTCTTTTGGTTTTAATTATTTTAATATCAAAAAGAAGAAACAAACTTCTGTTTTAGGAAGTGTTTCAATCATCTGTTGAAAATAAAGAATGTAATGAAGGTGGCTTAGAATAATATTACATAACAGTTTAAAATACAAATACATACTTAATTCATTTTTGATGTTACTGTATATCCATCAGCAGTACATAATTTATTTTCAGTACTTAAAATTTTCCTGAAAATTGACACACAAAATAAAATATTTTTTATGAATGAATTAATAGGATATTTCAAACTATGTAGCAATAATTAAATAGGTGTACCTTTGTTTATATTTGCTGCATGACACTAAACTGATGAACTGTTCTTTTAATTTAAGCATGTATCATCAAAGGATAGCATATACAATTATAAACCTGATATAATATGTTGGCATGTGCTTTCCAGACCAGCTATAACTAGTGAAAAACTAAAGAAGAAAGAAGAATCCAAAAATGATTTTGATTTAATGATTATAATATAAAAGATACAGTGGAAAGTTTTGGGTTTTAAATTTTCTAATTTTTGCTTCTTCTAGGATGCAAAAATTAGAATATATCATAACCCTCATTTTTTTAGGATCTGATCTGCAAATCCATTCCATCTTTTATAATTTCAACTTGATTGGTGTTTCTTTACCTTTTTTAAAAGTCTAACAATGAAGTTTCTCCAATTACTAAAATAGCATTATAAGTGACTGACATTTGAAAATAATAACAAGCATATAGATGTTTTGAATTGAAAAAAATATTGATGAGTGGAGATGAAATTCCCAAAACTCACATATGAAAATGGAAATAAAGATGGAAAATAAAAGATGTGTTGTTGTTATGGAGCATTATTCTACTCAAAAAGAAATAACAAATGATTTTAAGTTGGATTTTTGATTTCTTTGTATACATTGATAAAAATTTAATAAACATTAATTATTTAGATAATTCAGAATAAAAATATTTTAACTAAGTAAATAAACACTAACCTGTTTCATCAAATTGGTGATTAAAAAGTTAATTTATTAAAAATATTCAAACTCAGTTAACTATTTTTATTACAGCGTTGGCTGCGTCAAGCTATGTTTGAAAGTGGTACTTCAGAAATTGAATGTTCAAATTTTGAGACTTCAGTATTAGATGGAGGTCAGAATTCTCCTTTACATAATGGATGTTTCAGTCCAAATCCTCACAGTGATGCCAGTAGTCCTTGTGTTTCTCCACCTGGAGGTAATATACTTTTCATTTTACATATGTAATTTTATAACTTGAAATAATTACAATTCTTATAATTTCAGATATTGTAACACCTTTAAAGAAGCGTAGACTTATGAGAGAGTCGTTAGAATCCTTACCTTCTCCAAGAAGTTTATCACCTAATGCTCCGAGTGGCTGGCCTGCTTCTTTATCTTCTATAGAGAGTCCGGACCATTCTAATTCAGCATTAGAGATGTCATTTCCAATATTAAGTAGTGAAGAAAAACTTGTACAGATTGAAAATGTTGGGGAAGAAGATTATGATGATACATCAACAATTCAAAATAATTTAAATGGTTTAGAATTACATCTTGTGTCAGCAGCTAAGGAATTAAGAGAACATTGGGTCACAAAAGTAAGAAATATGATTTAAATATTAAATTAACAAAGATTCCTTAGTTTTAAAATTAACACACACTATTTTATCTGTCAAAGAATCTTTTTAAAGAAAATTTTTAAAAGCGTTCTTTCAAGGAAATAATTTTCACCAGAAAATTACTGTTAAATGCTAAATCTGCCTATAAATGATAATNGAAAACAATTTTAATAATAAAATTTAACAAAATTTGTTTTTGTTTTTATAAAAACATGTACAAAACATTATGAATAATTAAATTCTGTACTACATGTATATAATAACTTTTTACAATACAAATACAGTTCCGTGTTATTCCCAAGATATCTCGACCTGAAAAATAAAGAACCAGACTGTTGGACCTGAGATATCTAGTTCCTGCATCGGAACGTTTTTTAACACTAGATGTTGCTATTTGTCATAATTATCGTATTAAAACTAACTTTGAAAATATGTTTTTTTTTTTTTTTTGGTTTTTACATTTTTTAATATGTCTTATTTTGTTTGGGAAAAATAAAAAATAATTTGGAACTATACAATATCCATAATTATTTTTTTTCTAAAATGTTTAATTTTTGTTAGGCTTAAAATTGAAAAAAATTTAATATGAAGTGGCATATTTGGACATTGGACAAAAATTTCAACATGGGATAGGTTAAAGTTTGAATGTTTCTCTATTTTCAAGCAAATTTTCAAATTTGTATTTACAACAGTAAAAAATATTTTTACTATTTCTGTATAAATTAAAAAGACCCCCAAGATAGGAAGTTGATTTTCATTGGTCATTTGTTGCCTGGTGTGAATCAAAATCAAGAAGAATTGTTCAATAATGTATGATACTTATGGGTTATAATGGTAGTGCAGTATACTGTAATAATGTACAGTATCTATGAGAATAAAGAAATGTTTAAACAATAATGTATTGTGTATTGTTTTCAGCAGCCTCACGGATGAGAAATTTTAGATATTGTTTCTAAAATTTTGCTTCAACTTTTTAAGTAAAATTATCTAAAATGCTATAGAAAATTTTTTTCAAGCTTAAACCCTGAGTTTCATAATTAAAATTGTAATTAAAGTAAAAGTTTGCAAAGTGATTAAAATAAGTTATACATAAAAATATATATTTTATATAAATTTTGTTTATTTTTAAATGATATGTGTTAAAAATAAACTAAATGGAAGTTAGGAGAAAGAATAAGTGTGTATGCAGAGTTATATTATTCATACATTATAATATTAAATGTGTAGAAGTAATCACAAAAGTGTCTTTTTTTAAATCTTAATGTCCTGAAGTATGAAAAGGGCATTAAGATTTAAAAGAAGACACTTTTGTGATTACTTCTATGCATTTAATATTATGAAAATAATTTAGTTTTTCTTACAATTTTATTCTCCAAAAATATTTAGTATTTGATCTTAAATATGATTATGAAAATAGTAATAGTCAGAATATGCAAAAAATTAGTTTTATCTATACTTTAAATTAATTGAAATTAAATTTATTAAGCAACTGAAAACAATTTTAATAATAAAATTTAACAAAATTTGTTTTTGTTTTTATAAAAACATGTACAAAACATTATGAATAATTAAATTCTGTACTACATGTATATAATAACTTTTTACAATACAAATACAGTTCCGTGTTATTCCCAAGATATCTCGACCTGAAAAATAAAGAACCAGACTGTTGGACCTGAGATATCTAGTTCCTGCATCGGAACGTTTTTTAACACTAGATGTTGCTATTTGTCATAATTATCGTATTAAAACTAACTTCGAAAATATGTTTTTTTTTTTTTTTTTGGTTTTTACATTTTTTAATATGTCTTATTTTGTTTGGGAAAAATAAAAAATAATTTGGAACTATACAATATCCATAATTATTTTTTTTCTAAAATGTTTAATTTTTGTTAGGCTTAAAATTGAAAAAAATTTAATATGAAGTGGCATATTTGGACATTGGACAAAAATTTCAACATGGGATAGGTTAAAGTTTGAATGTTTCTCTATTTTCAAGCAAATTTTCAAATTTGTATTTACAACAGTAAAAAATATTTTTACTATTTCTGTATAAATTAAAAAGACCCCCAAGATAGGAAGTTGATTTTCATTGGTCATTTGTTGCCTGGTGTGAATCAAAATCAAGAAGAATTGTTCAATAATGTATGATACTTATGGGTTATAATGGTAGTGCAGTATACTGTAATAATGTACAGTATCTATGAGAATAAAGAAATGTTTAAACAATAATGTATTGTGTATTGTTTTCAGCAGCCTCACGGATGAGAAATTTTAGATATTGTTTCTAAAATTTTGCTTCAACTTTTTAAGTAAAATTATCTAAAATGCTATAGAAAATTTTTTTCAAGCTTAAACCCTGAGTTTCATAATTAAAATTGTAATTAAAGTAAAAGTTTGCAAAGTGATTAAAATAAGTTATACATAAAAATATATATTTTATATAAATTTTGTTTATTTTTAAATGATATGTGTTAAAAATAAACTAAATGGAAGTTAGGAGAAAGAATAAGTGTGTATGCAGAGTTATATTAAATTGATTGTAATAATTTATTTATTATCATAAATAATTTTTATAATTACTTTAAATATAATGTTAATAATATAAATCATTTTTAAAAACTTTCAGTTCATCTGAAAAGAAGAAGAAAGGAAAGAAATTTCCAGAATTAGATAATAATGATAACCAATCTTCTGCTGTTGGAAATTCAGTTATATCTAACTCTCCTTGTAAAATACAAAAGAATTCACCCATAAAAAATATTTATCAGGTTTGTAATATACTTTTATTTTTATAGTATAAGTTATTAAAATATAACAATTGTAATAAATATTTGATGAAGTATTAAATAATCAATTTTAGAGAACAATTATTACACTGTACTATAGACATGTGAAATATTTAAGACAAATTTGTATTACTTTTTCTAAAAAATATAAATATAATAAATCATGTAGTAAAGATAGAAAATAAGCAAAAAGCATTTATTCTTATTGAAATGCATTTAGATTTATGGTGCATCTTATCCTTTGGCACTCATTTATCTAATTTTAGATCTAATTGTACTTTGTAATGGGCATGAATAAAACTCTTCTTAATATCTATAAAGGTAAAAAAAAGCACTTATTTGTAAATTAGTATTTGGAAAAATAGTATTCAAGTGTAGAGAGATTTGTTTGTCTTCTTAATGTAATTAAGTATCTTAAATTGATTCATTATTTGATTTTCTTTCTCAGATAAACTAATTTTACAAATAAAAAATGTACTTAATTAGTATTTTTAAATTGATTATACAAAAACTCATTTATAGACAAAAAGAAAGTAAAATTATAGGAAATGATAAGCCATCTTACAGTAAAATGCATATTGTTGCTGATAAAATTTATAATTATGGAGTCTGTGTTTTAAGACTTCATAATTAATACAGGACACATCTTTTTACTTTGCAATAATTTATAGATAAATACAAATAACATTCTTTATATCCTAAAATACACTATTCATTATTTAGTATGCTTTAAAAATGGTAATTGGGTGTTTCTAATTTTTGTTGGTATATTTTAATTTAGAGTTACATCATGTGATGGTTTGATGTTTTTTAACATTAAGATTTCTTTCACTGGAATGGTTGAGTTATTGAGTGAAAATGATGAGTTTCCCAATATTGAAGAACTTTAATGTTTTTTTGAAATTTGAATTGCTCAATTTAACTCAAAGATAAAATAAGTGTATGAAATATGATAGAAATTATGCAATAACCTGACATTAATAGAAAAATCTGATATTCTATTCATTGCTAAATTTATTTATTTTTTTATATGGATAGTGAAATAATTTTGTTAAATAAACAGGCATCACTTTTGAAAATTCTTTTGATTTAAGCCTATTGTTATAACTTTTAATAATTTTCTATTATTTACTCTAATGACTACTACTGTGTCAGTAATTGTTATTCAATGATTTTAAGATATATTTTTGAGCTATGATCAATTAGCAGGTTTATTGTAAATATTCTGTTGCATATAAAAGTTCATCAAATGATGTAATTGAAATGAAAATTCACAAATAGAAAGACAAAACAGTTATTGCTGTTGTTGACAATTTTGAATTAGTTTGTAAAATAAAAGTACTGTAAATGTTTAATTAAAATAATACATATCTAAGAACTAAAAAAGGATTTCACTTCATGAGAATGAGGTCATTTGAAAACTGTTTTACAGGTTAAGAGTTAAGAATATAAATATTATGTCTTGTTAATAAAATAATTGAGTCATTTATTTATTCTCCTTTTTAATTTATACTATTAATATTCAATTTAAAAATCTTGACAATTCATACTTTTTTATTTTTATATAACAATTTAGAGATGAAATTCTTTCCAGTCTTTGACATTCAGTACTGACAGTAAAATGTTAAATCTCCAATTAAAAGTTAATGCTGAAGAATATTAATTAATATGAAATATTTTCAAAATAATTTATTTTAATAATGTAAAAAAAATATGGTTTTTCACTATTACAAAGTACTATTTATTTATATTACTAAATAATGATTAATATAATTATGTTGATTTCAGTCTACACCAATATCTCACACAGTATCATCCCCTGCTGATACAACATTGGATTCTAATAAACCTAATCAAGAAGAACATGAACAAGATGAACAGTCGTGCAGAAAAATGGTTGGTTTTTTTAAATATTAATTCTAATATTATCATGAAAATTAATTATTTTTTGTTTCTAAATTATTTAAATTATGTATTTATTTAATATATAGAGTCCATAGAACATACAAAGAATTTTTAATTTTTCATTAAGGAAAAAAGTCAGTCAAAGAAATTAATAAATACTTTTACTTTTATTACCAACAAATCAAATGTAATTTAATATAAAGGTTTTTACTTTTGTAATCAATAATAAAAGAGTCCCTGACAAAAGAATCACAAAGTATCTTTTTGTATTGACTTACTTGATTGCGGCATTATTTTTACCAATATTAATAGTAAAATTTTTCTTATAAAATATTGTACTGTAATATATTATATTATATAAATTTTATATACACAAATTTTATTGTACTAAGGATAAAAACCTTGTTACAGGGGGGATTATTTTACAAATAAATTTGAACAAAAACCATAATAGTTCATAATACATCAAATATCCTTTTTAATTATATATATTATATAAATTTTATTTATACATACAGATTCTATTACAGTTTCTTTGTTTATNTGAGTTTTAAGAATATAACTACGAAATTACCAACATACCAGCATAAATTCATTTCAAAAACGAACATTTTCTACCGTCTTCAACGGTCATCATCAGGTTCGAATCCAAGATTTCAAAAAATCGAACATCGCAGTTATGCGCATGTCCGATGCAGGGCCTTAATAAAATTATTCGTGTAATTGGTTTCCTGCTTCAAAAATCTGATGTTGATATTATAGTGTAGACATATATGGTGCGCATCCATTATACGTCATAAAATGCCCTCCATGCCATCGCCAATGACGTATAATGGATGCACACCATATGTCTACACTATAATATCAACATCGGATTTTTGAAGCAGGAAACCAATTACACGAATAATTTTATTAAGGCCCTGCATCGGACATGCAGGGCCTTAATAAAATCGGACATGCGCATAACTGCGATGTTCGATTTTTTGAAATCTTGGATTCGAACCTGATGATGACCGTTGAAGACGGTAGAAAATGTTCGTTTTTGAAATGAATTTATGCTGGTATGTTGGTAATTTCGTAGTTATATTCTTAATTCTCACACCAGTATGATGAATGATTGTTTAAAGAATTTTATGTTGGGTATTATTAATATATATATATCTTAAGTCAGTTAATTCAATGAATGAATAAAATGAACACGATCACAATATATAATGCACTTATTTGATATTCTGTATATTAAAATAATAACTTTCACTGAATTAAAAGTGTGAAGTATCATTTAACCATATTCATCAGCTGTAGTCACTAATCAGAGAAGCTGCTCCCAATGTGTTTTGTGAATCTGTATGAAAATGAAATGATTTTTGTTGTTATTCCATAAATATCACCTTAAAACAAAATATGCCTGTAACTTTAAGATTTAATTTGCAAAGATTGGTTGATTGTACATGTTATAAATGATTTCTTTTCCAATCTGTTTAGGATAGATTTTAAAGTTCATGTAGTAATAAATTTAATTGTAATGTTTAAAATATTTATTTTACAGAATGAAAATTCTGATATGGAACCAACTAGTTCTAGTGGTTTAAATCAAGATATTAATTTGAATGAGGAAAAAATTCCTTCTACAAATGTAGGTGATATTCCATCTGCAAATGTTAATATGACAGATTCGTCACAGGATTCATCGTGTTTAGATCTTACTTGTCATGATGAAAGAGAATCTCATGTTAGTAGTTCAGAGAGTATGATACCTGTTAATAGAACTGAAGATGATATAAATGATTCACAAACTTTGGGTAATGTATCTAGTAGTACTATTTGTGACAGTAATGAAGTTACTTCAACAAATAAAGATTTAAGTCCTGTGGAGGACAATAAAGATTCCTTACCAGACTCAAGTCTTAGTGGAGATGTTGAATTAGCAGGTAGAATAAATGAATCGGATGTTTGTTTTGTACAACAGGAACAATTTTCTGTTGAATCAAACTGTGTTCAAGATTGTGTTACATCATCTCATATTGTAAATAATATCACAACAACTGATAAACAAGACTCATCACATATTGTTAACATGTCAACTCCTTGTTTGTCTGCTGAAAATGCACAAAATGTACAGTTACCTACAACCACATCAACGGTGTCTACATTATCATCTTTAAATAATAGCAATTCAGTGAATGTTCCTCACTATACAAGTGTGGTTTCCAGTTCTGTTAGTCATAAAAGAAAGGTAATTAGATGTTTTTAAACAGATGATATATTTATGTGTTTATGTAATTGTCTTTTATGAAGTCTTAATTATCTATGTATTGATCTGCACACACACATACAGACTTAATTATTTTAGAATTTTGCTGTGCATTTTTGATAAAACCCATCCCTACTCTCAAAATTAAGCTTTTTGCTATTTTGTAATAGTTAAAAATATAAAAAGTAACTTTTTTAATAAAATGTCATAACAGATGGTGCCATCAAATGTTGCTGGAAAAATTAAGCAACTCGTTTATTGGATTTTTTACAAAAGCTATGAAATTTGTAATTAATTAAATAAATATTTAAATGTTTAAAAGTTAATAAATAAAAACTACTTTAATGAGTTTAAAGTATTGAGAAAAGAATGAAGTGGAAGAATCATGAATGACTAGATCTTTAATATAACCTTCTAATGTTTTTCAGTTGCATTATTTTGCAACTAAAGCAGATCAATTCAAAATGTAGAAGAGTTTATATGGATAAAAACATTAATTAAAATATTGTTAAGTTACAAAAATAATAAAGTATCAGATTTAGATTTCAGCTGAAATAATTTATTTTCAATAGGGAATGGATTGCAAAATCTAAAATAAAATATAAAAATTTAGGGTAAAGTTTGATATTTATATCTTTTGTTCTTTAATTAACTCTCCATTTTTTTAAATATATAATTCTGCATTTCCCTGCTCTTTCCATTTTCATACATAATTATACATACTTTATATTGATAAATAAACATATTTTGTAGGTTTCACTTTCTGAATATCGTTTGAGAATGAGGGAACAAGCAAGTACAAGTACAACAGAGACTAAATATCAAAAGGCTGATAATTACTCTAAAAATGAAGATATTAATGGCTCACAAGCAACTACATCAATCATTTGTAGTCCACCTAAAGGAATATCACAATCAAAGACTGAATCTAAATCAGCTAAACATAAAGGTATTGTTTTTAATAACATAATAAGTATCACCATAATAAAACTAGTAGTAACAAAACACTAAGTTTTTAAGGATTCTTAATAATAATAATTGGTTACTCTTTTTTCTTTATTCAAAACTGTACTTGAGGTTTGCATATAAGATTAAATGTTTAAGGAATTTTATCATTTATAAATTTTCTATTCATAAAAATTTAGTGTATTATTACTACTTACATTAAAAAATGAGTAGAAGTACATTAAGCATTAAAATCTTGTAAATAAATTTATACTTTTAACATTTTGCATTTTATATAATGTGATAGCAGTTTGCCAAATTTTTTCACTGTTTGAGTGATAAAATTTGGCAGACCGGTTTAAACTGATATATAATAATACTAATAAATCATTTTTGTAATGTTTACAAAAAGTTAGATGAAATTTGAAATTCAAAATTATAGAAATAAGTTCTACATTTAACAGCTAATTTAGAGTAGTTTTAGTGAAGTCTATATAGAGATTTTAGGATTTTACTATTTAACATTTAGCAGTTGTGGCTAATTACTAAAAGTACAGGTTACACTTGTTTAAGAAGCTAATTGAAATGTTATATTTAGAACATAAATCACTAAAATCTTTTTATAATTTCATTTAAAATATGCTTCAAAAATTTTGTTTTTGTCTTGGAAAGCTGTTTATTTAGATTTCCAGATAAACTTTGTATTTTTTGAGTCTGTCTTCAGTGTGAAGAAAAACATTTTAACAAAAAAAAAACTTAAAAGGAGTAAAAGATTCTGAAAATAGGTTTCATCAGAGGTCAGATATTTAGTGTGATGCAAGTGGGTCAATTAATAAACAAATAATAAGAAATTTTTTGTATCTGGAAAAGCTTAAAAAATTTCTTGAAAATTGCTGTTTAATAATTAAATAAAATAAAGAATATTTGTATAAAATAAAGAAAATTTTATATTAAGAGCAATAAAGAACTTCAATGAAAAGAGATGCTGAATACTGATGACATCTGAGTCCATTTAATACATCAAAATTGATGATTTACAGTCGACCCCCCCTATAAGATATAGATACGTTCCAATTTATTAGGAATCCGATTTCTTACAAGTCGTTCCAATCACAGCCCGACACATGTCAAGTTTACGGACTACGGCTGATTGAAAGGTTTTCTTCCATAAAATTAATCGATTCTACACTAATCCGACTCAACATTTCCAAAATACGTATATTTTTTCGTAGTTTTATAGGAATCGTAATTATAGGGGGGTTGACTGTAAATGCAATTTTATTTTGTTTCGGTAGAAAAATGTATTCATATACATTATGATAATGAAATTTTACCGTACGTTTCTATATTCAACGGTTGACTCAACGGTGAGAGAACGACGTTTCTAAATGGAACGTTGAGTTTTCCGGTGAGACTAGTGACGTCAGCACTGTTTCACCGTTGAGCTCAACGGTCTCAACGACCTGAAAGACCGTTGAGTATTCAACAAACTAACATGGCGGCTTCCATGAAAAAGTAATTTCCTTTTATAGAAATCCATTCGCTACTGTGGATGCTGTAATAATGGACAGATTAATGAATGATCTGTATATGATAAAACATATGATTGCACGATTATGTTGGATAATTTGGTCAATATTAAAATATTAAGATTTTTTTGTTCAAAATTGATTATGACCGATATTTGGCCCTCTAAGTCTTTCTAATGATATAAATATTCAAGAAAGTAATTAAAAATTATTTAAGAAAGACCCAGTAAACAAGAAAATGATACAGATATGGGTTTATTTGAATAAAAGGATTTATTCGAATAATGGTTAAGCGAGTTACTTTAATTATTTAGCAAAACAGCCACAATTGCCACCTTCTAGTTACTTAAGTTAGCCATCTTGAAAAGCGACCTCTCAACGAAAGCGTTTCTTTTTTCTGCAAAATGTGACATCAGATCGTTCAACGAGGGACTCAACGAAAAATTCACTGTTGAGTCAACTGTTGAATATAGAAACGTACTGTTAGTTGAAAACAAGCAAATTAACTTTGTTTATTTGAAAATCAAATTGAAAACCTTTGAACTTAAATTATTTTAAAATTTTCACCAATGTTTATATTTTAATAGTTATATTGTGGAATAGTGCTTTTTCTTTCTTTTCTGGAAATCTGCATTTTAGGCTTTTCAGCCCCTCATTACTTAAATACTTAAATGTCACCTAAATGTATACATCCTTTTACTAAAAACATTAAATAAAAATGGTTTTGCAAGTCTAACAATATTTCACAATTCAACTATTAATAAAGAAATATCTTCCCTTGGAATTACATTGAGAAAAACCAAACAATGATAGTATTTTGTTAATTAATTAAATTCAGATCATTGTTTTATGATTGATCTTGTAATGAATTAACTAAATTTGTTTATAGTAAAAATATTCAATTTCAGATGATATTGAAAGTAAATATTTTTAATAATATCAATTTAAATTTATTTTATCATCATAAATAGATAATGTCAATAAAGAAGAAAATCACAATGGAGAGTTAGATGTTAGATGGAATAACAATTCTTCAGATGAAATGCTAGAACAAGAAGGACAACCTGAAATATGTTCTGCTGAAAATTCTGAAAACAACAAAGATGATAATGGTAATTAAGCATAAAACTTTATAAAACTATAGTCAACAAAAAAGTACTCTATCAGTATCATTTCTTAAAAATTCAAACTCTGCTTGTAGTTTTTCAAATTCATTTCTATTGTGTTATTTTTCTCTTTTATACTATTTTAATATCTCCATTTAGACTGTTAGCACATTCAGCTTCAAACATTTACTGAGACTAGAGTCAAAATAATAATTATCCCTTTTGGGTTACTTTTAGGATAAAAAAATTTTTTTTTTCAATATTATTGTGTGTAGAATTATACTACCATTTTTATCGTAAAAATGCTATATGAAAAATAAAATTTACATCAGTATTTAACGTAAATTGTTAAATATCTTACTTTTTTTTTAATTAAAAATTTCTAAAGAATTGTATATAAAATCATTATATGCTAAATTTGGATTTCACTTTATTCATTTTAATAATAATTCCATATTACTTGAATATTGAAATAATATTCAATAATGCAATTTTTTTTTAGTCAAAAATCAAGATCAAAATGTATTACTTATCAAATCAGTTCCAAATCCCACATCTATTCTTCAGCTTTGTGTACAACCACCACCACCACCTCCATTTCCTTCAACTAATGCAAGCACTTCTAAAACAAATTCACTCCCTCAATTTAGATATCCAGCTGCACAATCATTCTGTCAACAGCCATTTATTGTTGCTCAGGTAACCATAAAATTTATTTAGTCATTTTAATATATTTAAATTTGCATTATACCAAATTAAAGTTCTGTAAATGTATATATTTTTTGTAGAATTTGGACTAATATTTTTCAATTAATTGTCTTATTGTATACAGTATTTTAAGTAAATTAAATTTAAAGTGTTCTATAAAAGTTTTTGGAAGATTTAATTTTAACAAACATTTAAAATTGTATTTATTCTGTGCATAATATTCAAATGTTATGTTAGTATTTACAGAACAATTATTTTGTCTTAGTTTCAAAGAAAATCTGAAAACATAAGTCACTTTATATTTTTAGCTTCAGTAAAATGGTGTGGATATGTTTAGTGTTTTTGGAGTCAAATTAAACATTCTAAAAATTCTAAATTATATGATTGCTTGATGTTTTTTACTTTTTCTGTTAAATATAAAAAATGTTTTTACAAGGATTCCATGTAAACTGTTCTAATAAAAATATGAAGTATTTAACATTTTGAAAAATTCTTTCTTCTAAGCAAAGTAATCAAAGCAGAAAACTTCTTAAGACATGTAGTTTTCCTATTTTCTGTAAACTTTCATTACAGTGCTGATTCTTTACATGACTGAAAAAGTTGGGTTATATTTATATTAACAGAATTGGTCAAAAAAATTGTAATTTTGTTTATTTCCCTAATGGAGTAAATATTAATACAAATTAATTAAATTCAATTTACTGTAATATTTATAAAAATATTAAATATTTTCATAAATATTTAAATATTTATAAAAACAATAATTTTTAAACATGATCATTGTTTTTAAGAAACAGATAACTTTTCATTCACTTATTAAATTGATATAGTGTCAATGCAATGAAATGAATTTATGTAGTTTTTTATTTTTTAATTTATTCTATTAATGCATATATATCTATTTTTTGTTTTATGTAATTTTACTTCAATGAAGAAAAGAAAGAAAAAAATTATTATTAAAATTATTATAAAAATTCAATTACTAGTAGACTGACACTGATAATGGGTTAGTTATAGTGTAGAAACACGGAGGTGCAGAATTATGTCTCGTCATACAAATGAAATTGGGGAAAATTTGCATAGAATAAATAATATTACAACGTTAGTTGCAGAAAGGCTATAATAAAATGGAATAGTGTCTGGATAAGCCTGTAGAAATTACTTGGGGAAATTTGCCAAACACAGCTTTAAAAGTGAAATTGATATATTGTTTAGTTTGTTTTCTATCAGTTCAGTTATTTGTTACATTGCTGTCTACTTTCATGATTAGGCACTTGTATTAAGCCATAGTTATCAAACAATGGTTTCAGTTTTATTATGAAAATTTAATGAAAAAATGAAAAGGGAAGCTTTCAGCAAAAGAAGATGCTTGTAATGGCTGTGGATTTTCACATAATTGATTCTTTGTGGCTCCTGCCTGGAAAAAATCACTGTGACTGCTGAAATCTATAAGGACTTTATTAAAGACCGTATTGAAGAATGGAAAAGTATAAACAATGTAGTGTCCAGTTCATGAAGGGTACTTGATGTCAATACTGTGATGAAGTTGAAGCTGCATTGTATAACATGATCCGGCATAGTTTTACATGACCTCTATCAAGGTACTAAAACACTGCCAGAGTGATGGGAAGGACTCATGCATAAGAGAAAAACTATAATTATTGTAACACTTTAAATAAAAAGATACACAGCCAAAAGTATTATTTCAATAAAAGTCTGAAGCTTTTTATGTACCTTAATTGGAAATAAGTATCAACACACTTCCTGGAATGCACATGCAGCAATGAAATCATGTGACAAAGCAGGTACATTTGTATAGTCATAAATGGTGGATGTAGACTTATTTGCTTGGAAATATAAGGCCAGGTAGAGAACTTAATGACTTAGAGAAGGCTGGTAATAGGATGCTTTGTTAACAGTCAATTTAAACTACTGCAACTATACTATGCCATCTAAAATTGACAATGACCGATGTTATTAAGAAATGGAAGCATGAAGGAACCAAACCTATGAAGAAATGAGAAGGATAGCCTCCAAAAGTGATTCCTTATGGCAAGAGAATGTTAAAATGGATAGTTATGTCTGACTTCCATGCTTTAGTCAGTGATATCACCAAATCCTTCCAGGAGGTCTTGGCTCAGATACCAAGGCATCCACCAAAACAGAAAGGAACTGTATAAATTAGGTTGTAATGGTAGGCTGCTGCTTACAAAACAAACATAATGTCTGCCAATCTAAGAATCACATTTCAGTGTAAAGAACATTTTTACTGGTCAATGCATTATACTATACACACTACCAATCTAATGAGAATATGGTTATTCCCCTAGTATATGCCAAGGGAATACTATACTCTGGAGTGTATTGTCTAAACAGCAAATTTTGGAGGTGGAGTTTGGAGTTTGTTTCTGCTATACAGGCTTCACCCATTGGTTATTTTGCATTGAACTACAGATATATCTCAACTTACGTAGTTTTGAGTTACGTTGTTCCCGATTATACGTTGTTTGTCAAAAAAGTATATGGAAAAATAAAAATCAAGTTTAAGTCATTTTATTCGACTTTACGTCTGTCTGCCACAAATATTGAAGTCGTAATATCACTAGAAAAGCACTTAAAGCACATAAAATCATATTAAAATATATACATTTACAAGTATGTACTGTATTTACAGTATATGCATTCTTAAATTTAGATTACTTTTTTCTGTACTATATTAAAAACTAAAATTTATTTGTTTGTAAGCTTAAAATAGATCCTTATTAACCATATATTATTAAAAATGTATTAATAAATAAAATACAGAACCGGGAATGGTAATTTATGGTTTAGCCTAGTTGACAAGTAGATTCGGAGACAAGTAAATTCGACTTACGTTGCCTCTCCTGGAACCAATTACCGACATATGGCGAGGTATACCTGTACAAATACCAGTAAATACTGGGCTGTCCTAGATAAGCTGACTATAACATTTACAATCCAATTTGGGATATAGTTCAGAATTAGTGAAAATGAGTTCTAAAACTGATTGAACTTTGATTATTTTTTAAAATTTATTTATGTATTGATTTATAAATTGGTGATATTTAACTACTCTAATTAGTTGGAATATGGCATATTGTTAATAACACACCATAAATTATATTGGCATGTTAATAAAATTGCTTTATTCAAAGATTGATTCTACAGTAATTATTAAAAACAGTCAAAAGTGGGAATATCTGGTCACTCTGTCCTTAGATAATCATGCACTTCCTACATAGTGACAGCACTTTGGGAGTGCCTTTCTTCTATTATAGAGCTCACTCAGTACAGACCTGATACAAGGAAATGGAACTTTTCAGAGACTGGAATGGTCAGAACAGAACCATAATCTGAACTGGAATGCCATGGGCACAAGACCAACACACCTTACCTCCCTACAATAGCTGACTGTGACCATGAAGAATGAATGGACCAAAATACTGGTGGCTTGTTACCAGAAACTTGGATATGTTTTCTATAAGAGGGTCATGAGTGTCATCAAGGACAAAAATGGACCAGCAACTTATTGATTTTTATGGTATAAAGGTTATCTAAACATTATCTAAAGGTTTCTAAATATTTATTTCAAATTAGGATATGCACTGTACAAATAAGTAATATATATTAAATAAACTTAAAAACTTTTAGTTTATTTAGTTTATTTCTAAATGCTTTAAATTTAATGTAGCTACTTGTTCAAAAGAACATAGCAAGTGATTGAAGTTTCCAATTTAATTTATTTTACATTACTATTGTATAAAATTAAGGAATATAAGTGAAATTATTGAACTTTCCTAATTAATTTTTATGATCTATAAGATGATAATTTTCTGTTATCTTTGAAATATGTATGTGTATTATGTCAAAAACCATAAAATGATAAATTAAAAGTTCCATACACATTGAAATAAAATAGTAGTCATATTTTTATTAAATATTGATAATGTCTGACTTTATTTTATTTGTTTAATTTAAATCAATGATGAGTAATCTTTCCTGAATGTGGGACACAAATGAACTTTGTAGCCTTCCAGCAGGCCACATACATTTTTTTCTGCTTATGGAGTTGCAGGCTTTATCTATTGAGTAGAAACATATTCTATAATTGCCAGTATACTAGATACTAAAATAGTATATACTAATGGTATGCAAACTATTAAAGGCCCATATTTTCACTGGTCAAGTTTAGTTTGAATGTTGCAGTTCATCATGAATATCGGCTTAATTTTATTTTCCCCGTTTTCTGTCTTTGGCCATTATGCAATTCTAATTATGTTTCCAAAGCCCTGTGGCAGTATATTAGGACTTTGCAAGCTCTGGTTGCTCATGACTGATTTAAATGATTATAATTCAGACTAGCTTGCATCTGTTAATCATTATATAGTCAATAATAGTAAATGCTTGTAAGTATCTAGTGTAGGGTTGCCATAAGTTCAAAACTAGAAATTGGGACATTGTAAATGAGGTAGCATTGTGGCAAAATTTGATGGATATCTAGCATTAGACATTTTTCAGAGTAGGTATAGTCTAAGTGAATAATTTAAACTATTTTTATTGAATTATCAATTACTGAACATTTTTTATTATTTGTTGGACCAATTGTTCTTGTTTGACTTATGTACTTCACCTAAAGTTTTATTAGAAAACCTGGCTGCCCCTTTGTGGACATACCAAACCCACAAATAATAATATTAATAATAAAGATCCTTTCAATTCCACAGAGCAGAGAGTCAAAAAAAGAAAAAGCTAGAATGCCAGGCATAACCATTGATCTATTTTTAATTATTGCACAAAATCATAATTTTGAAACCACACAGTATCAAGGCTCAATAGAACATGACATGTGAATCAAAAATTACTAAAGGAATGCATGTATGACACTTGCAGACACCTGCTACTTACAATTCATATTAGACTGGTTTTAATTCAGATTGGAATACTTTTCGTTAGAAATGAATGAATTAGAACAAAGTGTTCCAAATTGGACAGATCTAAAAAATTGGGATATATGGCAACCATAATATGGATCTGTTATTATAATCTGTTTATCAATTTTTCTGCTAATGGTTTCGAAAATATTTAATAAATAATTTTGAATATATGTACAGTACAAAGAAAAAGCATTCTGCTCTCTGTTTTCATCTAAAAGAAAAACAAAAATGTTGACAAAGGGAGTAAAGAAAACTATTTTACAAAATTGACATTTTGATTCTAAAGAGCAATTGTAAAGTTACTCTGCAATGGGTAGGGAAATGGGAAGAGCTTCCAGGAATGAAGTAATGACATCATAGGCAGACTGCATGACAAAAGAGTTAAATAAAGTTGGGATCACTTGGCCAAGCCACATGAGCATGGTCCAGTGTGGAAGGACTTTACAATCAAACTGTAGTTTTATTTCTTATATTTAATTTATAACATTATAAAACATTTTTACTACTTTATAACATATTAATTCTAATTTTTTTTTCAGGTTGCTTCACCTTATGTTGCCCTTCCTCCTCCTCCTCCTAATCAAGCTTTACCATCACAAAGTTCTATTCCAGTCATTCATCACTCTTCACATATTCGTCCTCTTCCACCACCGCCGCCATCTGTAATTCCCGTTCCGGCATCAACCGTCAATCCTCCTCCATCTATATCGCATTCGTTTCCGTCGCCGTCTACTCATCCTCCGCCTCCGCCTCCACCGCCGCCTCCTCCTCCGCCGCCACCTCCAAACGGATTCAATACTGTCGCCGGTGTACAAAATTTCGTTACCTCTCCCATACCCACATTACTGACGCAGCCGCAAGGATATCATTTCAATCAAGGTCTTTTCAAATGAATGCCCAATTCATTTATGTTAACTGTGCATTTATCAGAAACTAATTCCAGCAAAGTGAAATATATCTTTTAAGCATTTGTTGTGAAAATAAATTAACAAAACTATTGTGCAAATTAAATCAGCAGTAAAAATTGTATATTTACAAAAAATGAAAAGACCAGAAAAACTGAAAGATCTGATTACTGGCTGGATGCAGAGTTGTTTTGGCAAATGATGTCCATTCAACTGATGATTTATGTTTGAGATTTCAAATCATTACTGCAAAAATGATTATGTTATTGCAGTGGTGCATCATAAATCTTCATAAATCATATGTAGAATTATCCAAATCTCTTGTACATAAAGATCTATATATTTTTTCTTCATTATATGTAAAATTTTGCTATCTTTGAGAAGCTCTTTAGTTATAGCATTAAACTAACATTTAGATAGATAATACATTGAATACATTCAATGCATACATACAAACATATATGTGAGATTTTAACTTCATTAAATCAATACTATCATCATTACTGCAAAAGCAGCTCCTGGTGCCCTACTTGTATCATTTTACTGTCTGGAAGATAGATGTTGTTATTGTTATTATTAAGTGAATACTTGTAATTAATCTACAATTGTTTCTCCAAAAGAACAAAAAAGAAAAAAATTACCAAAAAACAAAACAAAAAATGATCAAGTGGTTAATAATATTTTATGCCAGGTTTATAATTTTGTTATTAAACATTATCTCAATTGTTTCTTTTTGTTATTTTTGCATGTCCTCTATCATAGAATTTTAAATAAAAAAACAAGCGATAGTTTTTTTTGTATACTAAATATTCACGTAACTTATTTTTTATCGGTTCGACATGTTCATAGATAATGCTATGTAAATATTTTACTTCATTGTGCATTTGTAATGTGACATTGACATCAGTTGTGAAATAAACCGTGGTCATCAGTACCTTTTCCTTAAAAAAATACAAAGTGTTGTTTTGTTTATCATATAAACAAGTATTGCTACCAATATATATAGTTGACTTTTGTATGCTTTCATAACATTGTCATCTGCCTTTGTATTTATCTTAGTAATATTTTAACTTTTTGTTTTTTTTTGGTATCAAATACTTGAAAATGGATCCATTGTTATTCATTTGTAGACAAAAAAAATCTTAAATAATATCCAAATATGTGGTTCCTTAGAAATTTATTTTAACATGTTCTTAATAAGATCATGTGACAGTTTTACATATATTTTTAATTGGGAATAAACAATTTTAAATTGTTTTAAAAAGAAATGTACAGTACATGAAAACATTGCATTTTTTCCACAGATTGGCAAAAAAAAAAAGAAACTTTTAAAGGAAAATATTACAAAAGATTTTTATTGGTAGTTAGAACAAATTTTTTTACCTCTGATTTTTTGTGTGAAAATTGATGAAAATTAATCTGCTGTATGTATATTGTAAATAGGGTTTATGTAAACCTTTTTGGTTAAAAAAATTATTTGAATAACATCTATAAATTATTTAACATTATATATTCTGTTGCAAAAAATATTGTATATCAAAATAGTATTTTTATTGATATAAAAAAAAGAAGGAAAATTGCTTCGTTTTTAATTTACTTCTACAAATAAATGATTATAAAACTGTTCATTTTTGGTGATGGTAGTGGCCTTCTAGATACTATTCACTATATACACGTGCAGTTGTTATTATTTTTTTTGAACGGAAAACTTAGAAAACAATACATCAGTTCGAACGGGTGTATGCTTATTTTATTAAATAATTATAAATTCATCTTTAGTACTTAAATTACTGAAAAATTCCTTTTTTCGAGCATCCTGTAGACTACATTCTTGCCTACTGAACAAGAAAATACCAAAAATGAAATTATTGAACGAATGGAGTTTGCAATAATAATAGTGTTTTTAACTATATTGTTTTATTACGTTACCATGACGATATTGATTCAAAAATATAAAATACAGATCGAAAAATTCTTCAGAAATTCAAATGTTTAACGGAATCGAACCAATTATGAGAAGTAAATCGACGATTCTGAAGTAAAACAATGCATTTTAAACACGTGGGTGCCAAATATAAGTGCGAAATTGATCGTCTATTGTTTTAAAGCCATTTTCGGGTATTGCGCATCGCTTGGTCAAGATTTGTGAAACGAACTGCTACGTTCTGTTCAGTTGACAAAGTATTCTTCCCACAACTCAGCTCGATTAATCGGGATTCAGCAGTATACCTTTAAATTTACACCCTTATAGAAATAAATTTTGGCTATTTAATGTTTGTAACCATTATTCTACCAGGGAGCTCCACCCCCGCTAGTTGATCTGGCAAATTGACATGCCAAAGTAACGTTGTTAAACAGTTCCCACCCGTTAAAAAATGCGGAAAGGAAAATCAATTAGAAATACTTTCAGTCTGTAGCACGGAAAGAATACAGAAAATCAAATTATAAAATACTCTTAACTTCTGTTGTAAGCAGAAATATCAATAAAAAAATCCAGCAAAGAATTGCATAACTTTCACGGCTGTTATAAGTTTTTATTTAGAAAAATAACTTTTATAGTATTAAGCAAAGTAAATAAAATTGTATGTGGCACCATCTGTTATTAGATTTTTGTTTATAAAAACTTTTTATATTTTTAATTACTATAAAATGGAAAAAAAGCTCAATTTTGAGGGTAGGGATGGATTTTATGAAAAACTATAAATGTTAGTAACGAATTAAGTCTTACCCGTCTCGAGATATGAGTGTGCTAATGATTATTATTGACTACAGCTAAAGATTAAGCCTTAGATAAAACCTTGCACAATTGCAACTGTTATACAATTCAAACAAATACTGTGTCATATGACGAAATCTGATAGACGATGGTAATATAACTTTATTTGTTTTTCTCGCAACACCTGGTAAGAAAACGTAAGTTTATCATTTTGGTGATTATCTATTCTATCCAATATTCACTAGATTTTGTCACAATGATTGACACAGAATACCACAGACGACAGTTCTTACTTCTTATCATATCCTTTATTTAAATCGAAATAAAGGATATTATAAGAAGTAAAGAATTGTTTTCTGTGTCAACCGTTGTGACAAATCTAGTGAAAATTTACTGAGTTACTGCAGTTTATGAGATGACATTGAGTATGATAATGACGAATATTATCGTCATTATCATGGGCATCCGCAGAAAATTTTCCAGGAGGGAAATAATTACATCTATAAATTTTTATCTAATTATTTAATTTTTGGGGGTTTTTTTCACAAGTATATTGTAGAATACAAACTGTATTTCAATTTAAAGATTTTCTCCTGAAATGAGTTAGATAGATGATCATGCTAAGAGGAAAAGTATGATGTACAGGGGCAAAACACTACTAATTTCAGGTGGAAAGCATGTATTTTAAATTAAATAAATTAAAAAAATATGATTCAAAATTGTAGCCCGGTATTGTGACGATGTTACGATAAATAATTGCTCGTTACTCGTCCAAAAGATACGGCAAAACCTGTGTAAACCGGAGTAGCAGGGTATTGATTTTTTTCCACTTAAAACAAGTTTTTACAATACAATGGAAAGTAAAAATGACCAGCATTTATTTATTTTAAAATATATTATATTATATTAATTTATTTAATTTAAAATACATCCTTTCCACTTCAAATGAGTAGTGGCTTGTCCCTGTACATTATACTTTTCCTTTAACAATAGAGTCATATAGGATACATTACATAAGACTAGATTGCTCTCTGGAGACAAAAATCAAGCTAAAATAAAACCAATATGCACGCAATTATGCTAGACAAGATGGAAGGAAGCTAATGAGACGGATGGAATAAAAGAAACTGCTGACAGGATGGGGTGGGAGACTTTTATCCACGATGTAATAGGAGTCAAATTCGACTGGACTACACTTAAACAACAACAAAATTTAAAAATATTCGAAGTAACAATTAAAAAAGTTAAATAAATGTATGATTTTCTCTATACTTAAATATATATTTCACAATTTCCGCTTTCATTTCGAAATCAAAACAACCTTTTCGAAAGGTCGTCGTTATTTAGCCAATAGAAAATACTTTCGCTTTCAAAGATTACGTATTCTTACTTGAATATTTTTATAGGCAAATACATCCTGATAATTAGAAAGTTACAAGCTAACTGTATACAAGGTAATATTCTTATTTACTCCACTATTTAGATATTAGTATATTAACTCTTGTTTCATTCGGTATTTAATTTAGTACGTGTTTAGTAATTAATTATATTTTTACGTCAATTTATAAATAATATAACTAACAAGGGAACTGTCGGAGTGGCATCTAATAAATTTTAATAAAATTTAGTTAATAGTTACGTTAAAAGTATACAAACTCTATATTAAATTTGTAGTGTTCACTAAAGGAGTTAATCAGAGTTATTAGCAATCAAATGTCGTACTATTTTATATGCGGATTTTTAAAAGTGAAAGGGTCGCGGAGGAAGACGGCGATATTACATTTACAAGTAAGTAGAAAATTATTTCGTAGTTAAGTAAGAAAGTAAGGTAATTTTCATATATTTGCTACTTTTTAGTGCGCGTGAATTATGTCTGTCCTTTGCAACGTTAATACTCCAACCTTAAAAGGAAATTAAGTAAATTTGTTTTCGGATTTCCGGTCTACCGTCGAATTTTAAATAAAACACAACACTTGTCTTGGATTCATCCGGGATTTTGAAATATAGGTGCAGATTGGGGGACAGAGGCACGTGCCCCCGTCGTTTTTCGGAAAATGTTACCTTAAGTAAGATTAAACAAGTACAGTACACTGTTCTAAATAACTCTGCTTTCCGTTATGGATAATCTGCAGGGATTAAACATTATACTGTTTGACGGTGAAGGAAGTATAACAACCGTTTATGCAGTACAGTCTAAACTCTAGAGTCTAAACAAAGTATTTTGCTTGACCGCATCTTTTTATTGGTGATTGCACTTAAAATTTAACATATAAATGTCTTGTCTCGTCTTTAATGTATCTAACTCCTTTCTCGAGATGAAGGAAAGGCAGACAGTGGAAATTTATAGATCTACGCGTGACAATGACTGGATTTTCTTACACTATACTCGTGGTTTGTAGGATATCAAACGTAATTTAATTGCCTGTTTTCGTAAAGGGGATTGCGACGACCTTCAGTTCATAAGACGANAAGGAAATTAAGTAAATTTGCTTTCGGATTTCCGGTCTACCGTCGAATTTTAATTTAATTTAATTAAATAAAACACAACACTTGTTTCGGATTCATCCGGGATTTTGAAATATAGGTGCAGATTGGGGGACAGAGGCACGTGCCCCCGTCGTTTTTCGGAAAATGTTACCTTATGTAAGATTAAACAAGTACAGTACAGTACACTGTTCTAAATAACTCTGTAAAAGCTCTCCGTTATGGATAATCTGCAGGGATTAAACATTGTACTATTTGACGGTGAAGGAAGTATAACAACCATTTATGCAGCACAGTCTAAACTCTATATATAGAGTCTAGACAAAGTATTTTGCTCGACCGCATCTTTTTATTGGTGATTACACTTAAAATTTAACATATAAATATCTGGTCTCGTCTTTAATGTATCTAACTCCTTTCTCGAGATGAAGGAAAGGCAGACAGTGGAAATTTATAGATCTACGCGTGACAATGACTGAATTTTCTTACACTATACTCGTGGTTTGTAGGATATCAAACGTAATTTAATTGCCTGTTTTCGTAAAGGGGATTGCGACGACCTTCAGTTCATAAG